CCCAGGGGGAGGGGTAAACCTCTCCCCGAAGGGGAAGAAGGGGGGTGGAGGAGGACACTCGCGAAGCCACTCACCCCCAGGCGGCTGGTGGGATTTGCGCCTTCCCACTCTGCGGATGTAGGTGTTCGGCTCCTTCTGATGAGCCCCTCTGCCTCCTGGTGCCGCCGTCCTCGCCCTCATCACCCATACCTCCGACGACGCCTGGACCCGTGGAGCTGGTGCTGGCCCCTGGAGCCTTCGACCTCCTCGCCGGGCTCGGCCGGGCACCGAGCAGGGCGAGGGATGGTTTCCGGAGTCTCCTTCTTTTCCTAGCCGTCTTGTGGGTCTTCGTTCTGAAGAGGCAGCGCCGCGCTCCTCCTCCTCCTCCTCCTCATCCTCCTCGTCCTCCTTCCTCCTCCCCCTCTCCCTCCTTCCTCCTCCCACCTCTGCCTCTGCCCTCCGCTTGCCCATCTCGGTGCACCTCCCACGCGCTTCATGGCCCCACAGGAGGTACCGCTCGCGTGTGGGGGTGTGTCGGCACACCCCTCACGCGTTCTGGGGCCCCGTAAAGTGGAGACCCATGCCAAGAAACACCCTGCTTGCCTCCAGGGTGCCCTGAGTTTCTTGAGTTTCGAGGTTTTTGCGATGGAGAGCGCGACGTTCTCACACCAAACTCCATGGACGTCCTGGGGTCTCAGGATTGGGCCTCTTGTGGAAGGTTTCTTGTGGTCTGGCCTCCACTGTAGAGAGCTCCACCGAAGGCCCCAGCGGCACCGTTCGCATGTGGGCGTCGCACCCTTTTGGCGCACCCCTCGCACGTTTCGTGGCCCCGTGGGGAGCTCACTGTTCGCATTTGGTCTTTGGGCATACCCCTCTCACCTTGTGTGCCCCCCATCCGCACTGCCCCGTGCTCCATCCCTTTCGCGGCGCGCTATCTATAACGAGAGGGAAGAGAGGGCCATGTCCTCCGTGACTCGCAACTGCAGATGGTTGAGTCTTTCGCCAGGCTAAACTCGAGTCGTCAGAGGTCTGGGTATCCATAGGTCGCAGGAGGTCTCCAAAGGTGTTGTGACCGCTGTCTTGCTGGCCCCTGCTCCCGGCCGCGGCATCCCACGACAGTCGCCGCCGCGGGCGCAGCCAGCCGGCGCCAGCGAGAATTCGTTCATCTATCTAGGCTCTGGGCGCGGACGCTTGGTCTGGTCTCGCCGTACAGGGACTGCGCCCCCCTCTTCGTTCATGGGCCTGTCTTCCACCACCACCACCACCATAAGTTGATGGGGGAAAGGGGTTGAAGAAAAGGAGGAGGAGGAGGAGGAGGAGGAGGAGGAGGAGGAGGAGGAGGAGGAGGAGGAGGAAGAGGAGGAGGACCCCCTCCCCCTCCCCCTCCAGCTTGTGGTGGTGGCGGGGTGGAGAACAAGCCCCCCTCCTCGTGGAGAGGGCACCCGTGCACCAGCAGCAGCCCGGCCGGGGGGCCGCCTTTTGGGCCCCCAGGGCCGTGCCGTGCCAGAGGCCCTCCTCGCCGCGACCGCCAGGGGGAGGCGCGCGCCGTGTGGGGGCCAAGGCGTGGCCCTGGCCGGGCGTCCGTGTGGATCGGGCCGAACGAAGGGGGGGGGATAGGGAAAGGGGGGGCTTCGACATCTGCTGCATGCAGCTGGTTTCGGCCCCGCCGCCAGGCCCATTCCGCGACACATGGGTGCCTCCCGGCGCCGGGAGGTGCCTGGAAAATCGGCCGCGTGAGCGGATTCTCACCCCCCCTTTCGCCCGGCCCGAGTGGTGCACGGGTGCCTTCTTCCGAGGTGGGAATTTATGCATGACCACCGCCTGGAGGGTCAGCTTTCGGAGCCTCGGCAGGCGGCGGATATGGACACATTCGGGCCCCCTGGGGCCGAAATATACATCCATATCCACCGTCTGCTGAGGCACCAGGACGTCGGTTCCCAGGCGGTGGATCTGGATAAATCCCCGCCTCGCACTTCTGCGTGCGGCCTGGTCCTGTTGTGTCGGCACAGCGGCGACCCCAGCGCGGGTTATCGAGGCTGAGTGCCGCCTGTGGTGCAGAAGTGGCCGATCGGAAGACGGGATCGCCGAAGGTTCCACGATCTATGTGGTGTTCAGAAGCCAGCGCCGAAGTTGCCACGGCACGACCTCGCCGTACCCCTCTCGGCGCACCCCGCTCACCTCTCCCGCGCGATGGTGCCCTCTGGGGCGGCCCGCAGGAGGAGGCGGGGCAACCTTCCAAGGAGGCATGGGGGGCTCCTTGGAAGCCCTCCTCCCTTCCAAGACGCCCCCTTGGGAGCATCCCACCCGTTCAGGAAGCCCCCTGCCTTCCAGAAGGCCTTTCTGGCCGCCTCCCTCGTTCCCCCCCCCCCTTTGGCGTGCCGCCAACTCCTTCCGATGCGATCCTGCTTCGTCGTGTCTTCCCCAGGCGGTGCTTGCACCAGCGGCTCGGACCTGGTTCAGGAGGGGGAAACACACAGACACAATTCATCGTCGACCCCCAGGAACATATGGGAAACTATGG